TTTCCGAGCGTTGAACGAGACGGGAGTGTCATGCTACAAAGTTTCAGGGTCATTTTTTGTTAACAAAAGTCGCAGGCCTTTGCTTTGATTGCTGCTGCCAGCATGCAAAAATTCGGCTTGTTTTTTAGCAACACTTGGTTTTTTCCGTTTTTCTTCCACATGAAAACAAGACACGAACAGGTGTTCGATTCTTGGTGGAAAGCGTCATTTAAGAAGTTTGACAGCCTTAGTTGTGATCGAATATAATTCGGAGAAAATGGACCGAGCTCCATGTTTCCGAAACATCAAGAGTTGTAGCTTTAGTTGACATATTGTACGAACTTTGTCAGTTCTGACCACTGGTCAAGGATGAAGGTGACTTTCATGTTTTTCCGTGATGACACAGCAGTTTCAATGATTGAAAAGTTTTGTTCTATATGAATACTTTCTACAGCAAAGAAACTTTCTGGTGTCCACTTGAGTTGAGACTCTTTTGTTTCTTTCAACCATCGACGAGCAACCGGTATGTCGGCAACACGGAAGCATGACCAGAAGCAAGAATTCAACAAGAATCAAAACATGACTATTTGAAGGATCCCAGCCGCACAGCTAACAAGATTGGTCGCCACTGCTGCAATATCACGCAGCAAAAACGCCAACATTAGGGTTCTGGAGTTTGGCGTGCGTTTCCACCTCAAAGCCGTGGTAGGAGATGACAGGAGGTCGGATTGTTGTTGTGCAAATGTTGAGGGCACAAACGATTAGGCACGGCAGGGCATGGAGCGGCAATTGCAAATGTTGGATATTGGTTGCATTGATGCCAACAGACTCCATACCATAAAACTCGTTGCAAGCCACCCAACTTTATCATGTAGCCCATTTGGACACTCCAAGCAAGAATGAAAGAGCAAAGCTCAGCATCATGGTGCAAAACAACACATGCATGTCCTGCATCACATTCCACGAAATCAACAAACAATGGTGTCGTGAATGCAGTCAATGCATCAACTCTGGTTGGAGTGCTCCATGACATGAAGGGGTAGGCTTCAGGTGTGCGCATCCAAGGAATGGGCCGGGTACCAAACGATTGAAACCACGAATCGATCCTTGCTTGTCGAAAGAGCGAAGCAATCCAGCCATGGAGCGAGCAGCAGTCCGATGCATTCGTGATGGCAGGTGCTGTCCGTTCGACGACTTGTGACCCTTCTGATCCGGAATGGGCGGTGCATTTGATAAGTCCGGCACCTATCCTGGATGGTGAGAAGGTCCGAGCAGCCTGTTTGGTTCCAAGCTCTCTTCCCCGCTTGTCGAGTGCTTCAAAGGCTCCGTGGTTGGTGCCCATAGATGTTGGCCTTGCGAAGCAGCAGGATTTGGACCCTCAGCAGATCTTCAATCGCCAGATGAGTTCGTGGTTCATTTGTGGGGGCCTGGCGCAGCTGTCTCCAGGTCTCCACAGACAGGTTGCCGAAGTCGACGTGCGCCCGTTGTTTTCTGGACTTTATGTTGAAACATGTTGTCTCTCTTGGTTAAGTGCATGCCAAAAGGAGCAAGGGCACACGCACCCACATAGACATAGACACAGACACAGACACAGACACAGACACAGACACAGACACATACACAGACACAGACCCCACAGACACACACAGACACGCACAGAGACGCACACAGACGCACAGAGACACACAGAGACACACGGAGACACACAGAGACACACAGAGACACACAGAGACACACAGAGACACACAGAGACACACAGAGACACATAGAGACGCATAGAGACAGACCCGCATGCGCACAAACACGCAAAGAGACACGAAGAGAAAGAAAAAGACACATTCACAGATACGCGAACAGAGACAGTGACGGGGAGACAGACTGACCGACGGACAGACACAGAGACAAAGACAGACACAGAAAGAGAGAGACAGACAGAGACAGACAGGCAGAGGGCAACCTCTGCCAACAGCCCTGGCGAAAGAAGACAGACAGAGACAGACAGACAGACAGACAGACCGACAGACAGACATGCAACGGAAATATGCGCAGACATACATGCGACTTGCGTTACCGAGAACTGCTCAGGTTTTGGAACCTTTGCAGCGATTACCATGCTGCGGATGTCATGCTGTGTCTTGTCTTCCCGGATCCTACCATTGGCCACCGAGTCCTGAAAAGCTGCACGTCGTTGAATGTGGTTAAGGGCCCCACGGAGGATATGAACACCGTGAGAGCAAGCAAGGATGCCATGTACACATTGAAGACCTGGGCGACGCAGCTGGACGTGACACGTGTGGACGATTCCATGAACTGTTATGGCAAGATCGTGGCGGTACACCAGCAGATGCAAAAGGATTTGCAGGAAGCCGCACAAGACATGCCGGGCTCCAGTGGCTTCTTGGCCGAGAACCTGGAGAAACTGCATCGGTCGTCGTACCTTGAGCGCTCCACGATTGCTGAGGGTGTTGCTACAAGATGCACCATTAGCGGCCTGCCCGTTTTGGCACTGCCTGATGAGTTGACGGGCACGGGCAACACAGCCATGCAAGCCTCCTTGGAAAGCTTCTTCGAAGAATACCGGGAGAAGATCGTGTCCATGGACAAGCAGCAGCTCGAGGCCGAGCGGATTCAGCAAGTTAACAGGTACAGTAATGGGATAGCTACAGAAGGTGTGGAGGCATCGTGCAGGAAGCACTGCCGGTTTCAGGAACTTCCATTAGTGCACAGGTCACATGCTTTCTTGGGCCTTGAGGCCTCCTTGAGATACATCGACATTGGCCAGACCGTGGCTTCAAATCCAGATGATGTCCACAGACTGCTTTGTGACTACAGCAGTGCGGTCGGTCGGCTGTGGCTGTGCTTGGAATCAGATTGAGTTTTGCTGATCCGGGATGCGTCAGCTTTTCTTGCGCATGTTCTGCGTTCGCCGACAGCCTCCAAGCATCAAGAGCAGCCGAGGTGTCCTTTGGATGATTTCATGGTGGAGAGCCAGCTGAATCGTGTGCGAGACCTGGGCTCTATCATTACCGCCTTCCCTCTCAATCAGCCTGGAGAAAGTGGGCAGCAGGCAAGGATCGGTTCTTGTTCTTAGCACAAGCCCAATGACCAATTGCAGAGTCCCTGAAGTTCTTGGCAATCGCGAGCTGGTGGCCGAAGAATGCCGATAGGGTAACAGTTTCAACATGACACCAGGATTGTGTTGTTTGTCTTTAGTGTTATAGTTGCAGCTGTGTGGCTTGTGTGTTTGTGCAGCATGAGACCTCATGCCACCCTGAATCGTGTTTTGAGGTGAGATACATTTCCATGGGCCCTGGAGTTGTTGCTGAGAATGCCACTGACGGCAAGACTTATCGGTTTATTCAGAATGTGGAAGCCCATGACCCATACTCAGAATCAGCCAAGCTCCAGAGCCTCTTCGCAGAAATGGGAATACCTTGGATCGAGGACATGGGACAGAGGAAGGCCAGCTTGCTGGACCTCTACATGAACAACCAACGCCTGTATGAGGAGGTGAACCTAGCGTTGTGGAAGGACGATGAAGTCCTGCTGCGGCGGCTTGCTCCCTACATCCGAGCATTGCGAAGTCTGTTTGAGAGGCCCCAGCAGGATGAGATTGAAGGCTTCGACTTCTTTGGTGCAGCAGGCCAAGTCGTTGAGCGGCGAATGCAGCTGGATGAGGACCAGATTGATTTGTACTTGCTGGAAAAGAGAGTTTGCTGGCCACATTTCGCATTGGCAAGAGTCATGGACCTGCAGAAGGTGAAACTGGAAGATTTGCAAAATGAGGACCGTTCGGCCGAGCCAGCCCCTGAAGGGACAGCCGTGCGTGTTTTCTTTGATGGGGATCTGCCGAATGCAGGGTATGTTCCCGCGGTGATCCACGCCCTGTCGCGCCCGCAGCACCCTCACGGAAGAGTGGTGATGTTTCCTCCGCATTGCATGTTCCGCATAGAAAACGTCGACGGTTGCAAGACCTACGATGATCCAAACAAGTGGACCATTAATCTGGCTCTGGACAGCGTCCCGTCAGTATGGAAGCTGATTCGCGAGAAGGACTGGCAGCGCTTCAGAGAGTGGGCAGATGCACATCCAGAACTTGTCAACAGTCACGGGAGCTTGGGATCGATCATCTGCGAAGTGGCACGGAGCTTGGCCTCAGAGCCTCGACAGTTGGCCGAGGATCCTGTGGAGGTGTGCCTGAGCCGTGGTGCCCAAGCCAACGAGGCCCGTCCTTCTTCATGCTGCCTTCCTCTTGCAGTGTCCGCATGACCCATCAGGTCGACGACGCTGGTAAGACTGCGCTGTCGATTCTGGCCTCCGAAGCTCCAAGCCAAGTTCTTCAATCAGACACCAATGTCGGGTCAGCGGTTGTCAGGCTCTTAGATGTCCATGGCACGGTGTTTGTAAATTTCTGGGTTGTTGAAACAAACCCAGATTCCGGGCATACAAGGTTTGAACTTCAGGAGTCCGTTCTGCGGTTCTTTGGTGTCTGAGGTGCAGCGTCTCCTTTCGGCAAGTTGATGCCTCTAATCGCGCTATTCTAGCTAAGGTTTGGCGCTCATCCCGTCGAAGGTGTTGATACATCGAGCATTGGCTTCCGCTACCGCCACGTAAATTGGCAGTATTGGCACGACAAGGTGCAGGTGAATGGAAAACCGAACGGATGGTATCCCTTCAGCCGCAAAGCGTCAGACACACTGGAGAGCCAGTATCAGGCCTGGTTGCTACGGGGCGAGCTTGGTGCGGCAAGTGATTGCAACGTCAGGAGTGGCGAGCACGAATATCGTGTGTGGTTCAAGGAGATGAAGCAGCAGAAGCAGCAAAAGTCTGGATCTGGCAAAGAGCGACAAGTTCGCAGGGCCCCAAAGGGACTTGACGAGCGTGAGGACTTCCAGGTCAAGGCTGATTTCGAGTCTATGCTTCGGGTGCTTCAAATTTCGCTGTGCGAAGGAACGCAAAAGAAATCAGAAAGGCTTCAACATGACGTTTCAGATCCTGGCTTGAAGCAGGCTTTGGAAGCAATAGCTAAAGCCTCGGATGACGATGACGAAGCACTTAAGGACGGACTACAGCAGTTTGATGATGCTATGGCACAGCACGTCAGCGCTTCCCGCGCTGCAGCAGACGGCGGCGAGCACGGTTCTACTCAAGATGCCCATGTGATTGAGAAGGAAAGGTGCACTGAAAAGTTGCAAAGCTTTCGGAGGACCGCGGAAAACCTTCATGCGTCTCTTGCTATTGGCTGGGAGGACAGAGGAAAGGCTCGCAATCTGATCAGGGCCGTGGCTAATGACACCACTGCGTCGCTTGAGCCAGACTTCCTAGCCGAGTCGCGGATGACTGTGTCGAACGTTGAGGTTTTCGACAGCGGCGGCAAGTTGAACGCTGCCTTCCGGGTGACACTGTCCTGGCAGAACTCGAGTCCAGGCGCCAATTGCTGTAGCTGTCACCCTAAATGGCCCATGCCGTGTTGCTGTCAGCTTCAGGTCTTGCTTGTAGTTCCGGACTGGAGCTTTGGGGTTTTTCCCTTTTTGCTGAATGACTGATGAGATTGCAGGTGTTTCGACCGATCTGGACATGCATATGAAGTGCCCAGAATGCAAGAAAGAAGTGTACTTTAACCGCAAGGAATGTTGGTGTAAAGAAGAGCAGAGGAGGTTGTGGCTGGATGTAGATATGACTGGTACGAAAGACGATTCCACGGAGAACATGACAGTTGACCAGCCAAGTGCCAAAGGCTACAAGTTGCGCGTCAAGCTGTATCGTGGCGAGCCAGTGCCTTTTACGGTCTTGGTTCGAAGAGCTGGCTACCCAGACCGTGAATACTACAAACTGGGACCTCACAAGGAGGTCGGGGAAATGATGAGCATATTTTCGGCTTCGATGGATGAGAAAGGCGACCTGCAATTGGAATCGGATTCGAAGTTTCTCTTTAAGGACCAGCGACGGGAACCTCTGCCACCTCAGGACCGGCAGGATCCCAGGTCCTAGGCAGGTGTAGCGCGCATAGTCTGCGCCCCCGTGGAATCCCTCAGAACTCCCCCTGGAGCTAGAGGGACCCTTGGAGGAAACATCATCTTCTGCGGCCGTGCGTCCTGTGCGCCGTCGAAGCTCCCAACTCCTCAAACTCCCAGGACAGGCTGACAGTGAAGCGGCGGGAAGCCATTCTGGGTTGCTGGTACAGTTAGATTGCTCATGCCTCTAGTGGCGACTGAGTTTGGATCCCTCAACAGCAATGCAAGGAGTCAAGCTGAAGCTTGAGAGGTTTTTGGGGTTGCAGTTGGGCTGGGTGGGTTCAGAGTCTTTGCTTTTGCTGGTTCTGGATTTAACATCTTGGTTTCATGTTTTCAGCTGACACGAAGTTTGAGTGTGTGACGGTGAAGATGTTCTGCGTAATGCTCAGATTCCTCAGCAATTCGATGCCAAACAGGACCACGCAGTCATCTTCTGATTTCAGGGCGCTTTAACAGCGATGAAAAGATGGATTACATGAAGCGTGTGAAAGAGCTACTGGATGATCAAGGCGTGCCCACCTTCATGGTAGAAGCCCAAGGGGCAGGGGACTCGTTTGGTGACAAGACCATGCTGGGTCTGTATCAAGCCAAAGCACTGGTGGCCTTCTGCACTGCCGACTATGGTGCGAAAACCGGCGCTCAGTACGAGACGTATTTGGAGTTGCGGTACGCCCATCAGAAGGACCTCCCGATAATTGCGGTTCAACTCTGCGACACCTTCCCGCCAAAGCCGAATGATCTAGCAGGTCAAGCTCAGAACGATTTCGTGTTCCGCAGCGACATAATACGCATCATGGATGTTGGAATGGCCAGCCCAGAGAAAGTTGCAGGTGAAATCCACCAGGCCTGGGTTCGACGAATCCAGAAGATCTAGAGCTTGTCATGACCACTGCTGTAGGAGGAAGACTTTATGGACCTTACGGTAGGACATGTTTCACCAAGTTGCATGAGAATCCCGTTTGATCAAGATGAAGCGCCCACTCATGAGCTGTCTAAAGGACCAGGACTTAATTCATCCCGAATGGGTGGAGCCGTCGCTGTGACTCGAAGCACCTGCATGCACAAATCGCAGTGTTTGTTCAGGAGCAAGTATTACTCTTATAGTTTGCTCATACCCAGCCTGCACAGACTCAATACACCGAAGCTGTTCTGAAGTACGGCAATCAGGCTCAGGAAGTAACTTGCGGGTATATCAGTGTTATGTGGCGCAACAGCAGATGACGGTTTGCTCCCTTACTACTGGAACGGACGGAGATGCATTCAGGACCGTAGGAGTCAGATTGCAAGTTTGAGTTTGGGTTAGACAGTCAAAGGTAAGCACGTGTTTGGGTCTGTAGCAGGGCTCGCATGTGCGTTCCAGTGTATTAAAGGTTCGTAGTGCTTGGAGCTTGGCATCCATGAGTGGCGTATGCCGGCAAGGGCTGATCGCAACCCTAAACCCTAAACCCTAAACCCCTAAACCTTAAACCCTAAACCCCAAACCCCTTAACCCTAAACCCTAAACCCCCTAAACCCTAAACCCTGAACCCTAAACCAGGGCCCTGCAACGCGAGTTACAATTGGGGGCTGTGGAGCTGAGGCGCTTAGAGACGGATGCGAGGTTTGCCAACCAAACCCGCTTCTTTAGGGTTTCTTATGCGGTTATACCCTGGTTAAATTTGGAATGAGAGAGGGAAGACGACAGCAGACAGTGGTTGAAAGATGCTGGTGAACATGAGAAGCATGACGGCATCGAGCCACGCCCACGCTAGCACAGGTTGGATTGAGGGTCTAGGGATTGAGGGTTGCGAGATTTAGGGGCATAGTATGGTTTCGGGCATCGGGCCACGAGCAGAAGCAAAGGAATGTTGTGCGACTCCGCTTTCATCACTGCCTTCTTTAGGGTTCAGGGTTTAGTCTATACCGGTCTTGCGATTCTCCGCCTTGAGTCCGGCAGCAGTTGTGTTTTCGGCTCGACCTGCTTCCCGACCACAGCGCGTGGCAGAGTACGCTTGCATTGGATACATAAAGTGTCCGGCCTACCGACACTTCGTAGCTGCATAGCTTTTGCACTCGTCAAGAGGTTGCAAAGGAGGTCATGTCTCGGTGGCAGCAGTTAGTGTTGAGAAACTGGGCACTTGAAAGCAGGATGAAGGGAGACCAAGGAACAAAACAGCCTCGTCCACCAGCCCGTGGTTTGGAGAGACGACTCAATGCATGGCGGCCCGGTACCGGTCTCAGCAAGCTGGAAAGGTTCATCGACAGTTTCACATCGTGACAATAATCACGGAGCTATATTGGCTTAAACAAGTGCAGAAGACACTTGAGAGGGCCAACATGTTTCTAGAAGCACAGCTTGCTGTGGTTCAGCGCAGCTGTGTATGAGCAAGGATCCAAAATGCTGAGATTTTCAGGAAGGAAGAGATGAAACTTGCGATGTGAAGTTGGTAGCTTTCATGTCCAGCCGAAGCCCAGATTGATATGGTCCACATTCGTGTCTAAGCCCTGTGCCGAGTCAACGGGATCCCACGGCTAGTTCCCGTCATGCTGCCAAGCCGCGTCACCGCTGCCTTTCTGCAGATCTTCAGTTTTTTTGTTGTACTGCGTTGGATGCACTGTGCATTCGTCTCAGGTCCGCGTCGAGCGCGGGAGGCTCGGCAGGCCTGGATGCAGAAAGTGATTGTCGGCTGCACGACGCACAGGTTCCATCAACTGCAGAGGATTATTCATGTTGAGGGCTGTGCTCACGGTGCAAAGCTAATCGCAAGTGGATATGAGTTTTACAGTCCTACACCCACCTGCACATTGTTACAAACACGAAATGTCACCTTGAAAAACCAAACATGCCACCTCAAACCCCAAACGAAATCCGCGGAGGCGGACGGAGCCCGAGAGGGACATCGCCCTCCAGCCTGTGCCCGAGAAGGATTGCTTTTCCCAAGCTGCAGGATGTCGGTGCCTGGGGATTGGTAGATAGAAGGCCAAGAGTTGCGAGAGGGATGCTTGGACGTTTTCAAAGCATCCACGACAGCGCAGCAGTAGTCAGGAGTTGGGGACTACACCGAACCAGGTGTGCAGAGACGGTTCATGCAGCTTATTGAAGTGATGCTGCATAGCTCAAGCAAGCTCCGTCCGACCTGTGGATCAAGAGCATCCTCAAATGCATGCAGCACATGTCTATAACTGCTTGTAATCGGCTTTCAGATACTTCATGGGCCACCGGCACGCTTTTGCAAGACGAACCGTGCAGCCCGACAGCAGGTTTGAAAATTTGTCCAGATACCATTCAAACTTCAGCTTGCACGTCGACGATGAAGTCTTATGTCGGACCTGTGCTCCTTCGAAAACTGTCTTGGCGCCCTGCCCCGTTTGCATCAATGGCGGGCACTGTGCGACTGCTGGTGCCATGGAGGAAGTTTCAAGCATCAAGGGCAACGGGACGCTTCGGACAGTAGGCACCAGTTTGTGGTGAGATGCTCGAGTAACAGCTAAGTTGCCCGAGAGGTATGCTTAAACAGCAGGTCCGTTCCCATGTGTACGGGATGTGACTCACCTGTGCCGGTCGCTTCTCGTCCGCTGCATTGAAAGTTCTGACTCAAGGTTCAACAGCCGGTTGCAGGTAGAACATCACCATCAGAGAGCATACTTCTGCTGGTCGTAGCACTGGCAGCCGCAGTAGCCGCGATACTGGAAGCGTCAACAGCAGCACCAGCAGCAGCATCAATGGTCGGATTGGGGGGGGCGGGGGCGTGAATTGTGTAGCAACATCACTTCATCATGATATTTCACATTTTTCATCATCATCCACATCAGCCTGTTATCTTTTTAATCATCATCAACATCGTCGTCGTCATTGTCATGGTCATTGTTGTCATTGTCATGGTCCTCGCCTTCAGTATCTTTACCATCGTTACTCTTAAGCAGCTGGAGCTTGAACAGTGCGGCTGAGGTGCTGAATGGCAAAGGCAGGAGCTGAAACAGGGGCAGTTCTTCTACTGTCCTATGCTATGCCCAGCCAAGCCATGCTAGACTCTATTCGGAAATACTGTACTGTACAGGTTTCGAAGGAGTTCTAGCACACAGCCCAGCAAAGGCTCTATGTCCCCAGAGCAGAGACCTCGAAGCCACAGGGATAGCTTGAGAAACAGAGCACTGTTGCTGTTCTGCTGTAGTATATAGTACAGTCGAGGAAATACCATTCTGCATCATCGTGTCGCACAGCTGATCTCTGGACAGGTCTAGACACGAGAGGCTCGACGGAAGAGTCGCGAACATACTTCCGATCGTCCGCGCAGCTGTCGGATTACGATGCTTGCCATGAACTCACAAGCTGCAGTGCAAAGCGCTGAAGGCTTTCCAGAGGAGCAAACAGATTGCAATCACTGTGCCGAAGCTCAGGATGCGCACATTCGCGCCACTGCTGCAGAGCTCGGAGTGGCAGTGGAACATTTGCAGACGAACGACCTGGACGAGTGCATCAGGCTTTTGAGATTGCACAGTGTGCTATTTGAGCTTGAATCCACAAAGAGGGTGCAAGCAGAAGGAGTAAAGAGAGTAACATCCAGCATCCGGCCTGGTGAAACGACCAGATTGTCCTGCCCTGGCAGTTCGTTGATCATGCAGCATTCTTGGAGCGGCCTCGGCCTCTGAAAGTGACAGGCTACTGTCCGGCACCGATGCTGACGCCATTGCTGCGATCTCAGACCCGCGTGTTCACAGCTAGGCTAGACACACACAATCCCAGCAAGCTCTGAAACCCAAGGCTTTTGAACAGGAGGCGTAGGTCTTCTATAGACAGTCGTGTTCCGGGACACCCTTCCGCAGTGAGGTCATCAATCCCGCAGGCCTCTTGGCATGCCTTGGATCTTGCTAGGCTTGGTGCGGGAAATGGTTTCTGGGTGCTCCGTTATATTTTATGTACTCATCCATCTTTCTGTATCCGTCCATCTGTCTACATCTGTCGATCTGTCCATCTATCTGTCAAACTATCTAGCTAGCTAGCCAGCTATCTGCCTACCTACCTTCTATCCATCTATCTGTCTATCTGTTTATCTGTCTATCTATCTATCTACCTACTCATCTACCTACCCATCAATCTAGCTACCTACCTACCCATCAATCTCTCTATCTATCTATTTATCTCTCTCTCTCTCTCTATGTATATATTACATACATATATATATCGCCTCTGAATATATATATACATATACATAGATATATATATATATATGCATGTAGATACGTATGTATATATATATATCTATATCTATATGTATATACACATATACATATACATATACATACACACATACATACGTACATGCATGTACACCCCAACACACACGGTATCCGGCCAGAAGATGGGGCGATGCCTCCCGAGGCTTCGGCAAGGAGCCGGCCCTGGTGGAGTGCATCGCTGCGCTCAGGCCCTCGCCTTCAGAGCCGCTTATTGCAAGTAGGGGTTCTGAGCTCTGATATAGTATAGGTATAGTATAGTATAGCATAGTATATTGTATAGTTAGTATAATATAGTAGAGTAGAGTAGAGTAGAGCATAGTATACTATAGTATAGTATAGCATAGTATAACGAAACATAGTATAATATTATACATTACAGTGTGGTATAGTGTAGTATCGTATATTGTAGTACAGTATAATATCGTATAGCATAATATGTAATATAATGAAGTGCAATGTAGCATACTACAGTATAATCTAGCATACTATTCTATAACATAGTATAATGTAGCATAATGTAGTATAACATTGTTATAGCATGTAGGAACCTTCCTTGATCTAGAGAGGCACTGTGGCCACACTTCTTGGACAGAGGGTCTTCCAGACAAATCCGAGTCTGTTGTCAGGAAACCGGTTTTCGAGGTCCACTACGGTCGGGGCCTTTGTTGGGTGCACAGACTCCAGTTGCAGAGACGTGATAGTCCCTTCGGGCTGTGGTGTTGGGTTTGTTGGGTTGCCCGGTCGTGTCAAGGAAGACTTGATTCAGCGATCAAGGCATTGTCTTACGTTCTCTCTCCCTCTCTCCCTCTCTCTCTGTCTCTTGCTCGCTCGCTCCGCAACTCTGTCATGAGCATGTTCATCGCTCTTCAAACCTATACTCCAATGTCGAATAAAGGAGTATTTCTGCACTTGCCCTGAAGCTTCAACCCATCGTCTTGAGGCATTGCTCTACGACTCTAGCCTAACTCGTCCTCGGCTGGGTGTCTATGCTACTATCACGACTCCACTCTGCTGGGACACCCTGGTGCCAAGGCAACTTCTTCGCCAAGGGTGCCTTGGCCGAGAGGGAGCACGTCTTAAGGCCTTCCCAAAACTCAGACGCTAGCAACGACTGCGGCCAGGCGCGACATCTCTGGTAACGGCCGCCTGTGCCTCGGCGGCTCTCTGGTTGCTCAGCCTTGCCTGCTTTCTGCGAGGAGTGAGAGCTCACAACACAAGGGTCTCGAAGCAGACACCCTTGCGCCTTTGTCCCAACAAAGGTAACGGGCTCATCTGTGGCGCCAAGCTGAGCTCCTACTCTGCGGGCATGCGCTTCGCCGGCTTGTGGGGTGTGGGGTGGTGTTTTCGGAGCTGCGAGGACAATTGAGACAGGAGACCGACGATACTGACGGCATCTGGATAAAGCTAAACGAAGCTTATCCTTCAGGGACTGTGAAGGGTCTGCATCATGATATCCATGGAACCAAGAAACACACGGCTGCACACAGTCGGGTCCCGCTTCTTCGTGATTTTGACCTATGTGATCCTGCTGACTTCGAAGTCGGAGGAAGATAGTCCCTACCCGTGAACTCAAGGGGGTTCGCCCAACCCTCATTGATAAACGTTTCTGACAAATGGGATAGGCAACAAGGTGGTCGCCGATGTGTTATGCACTTGTATAGCATGCTGAGAGGAACACTGAGGGACTACAAGAATGCATGCATCCATGCGTGGAGACTTCGATCCCAGGCGAGCGGCTGTGGAAGCGCTGACGCCCTCACCTTTCGACCACCCTCCGCCTGAGAAGTGAGCTGGAGAAGCCCTGATTCCTGAGAAGCCACGCCCAAAATCCCAGGGCGGGAGAGAAGGGTGTCGCGTTCTGATGGAAAAAGGCTGAGAATCCGGACATGGGTACACCAAAGAGGCTTCAAGAAGCTTGCATGCTCACAGCTTCACGCTCTCAGAAGTTATCCCATGTTATCCTCGCAGGAAATTCATAGGCTGTGGCCCTCGTTTTCTTGACTAACTCTGCTCGCAGCCCTCCGACACAGGCTTTGGTTGTGGCAGGGCAATGTGGGGATTCTGGGAGAACCGCAGTCTGCAGCTGTGAGCATGGCAACAATATGGGACTTTCCGAAAATTAGGGGTACCTTATTTTGGGGTCCTTATAACAAGGCTCCTACTATTTAGGGTACTGCATTAGGGTCCCCTATTTTCGGAAACCCCCATATACAATCCAACAAAGTGAAACCACAAATAAACGAGCAAACAGATGAATAATACATAGGACAAAAGATCTACACGCAAACTTAGAACTATGCGCACAGTTGATATAGAATACGCACACAGATGTGCGTATGAATATGCATAAACACATATATGAACGTGTATATGTATGAATATAAAAATTACAAATGAAGCATCAACATACGCAAAAATGAAGAACATAATAAAAAGCACGTACATAGAAACATAGAGTATTAAAGAACGAAGCAACACATGAAACAGTACACAGATGAATACATAGGTATATAAGTACAAGTATGTATGTCTATACATGTATGTATGTATATATATATGTAGATATGCACATATGCATACACACATATGTATACACATGCGTGCATGTTCACCTTTCAACCACGCAGCTGCATACCCGGGGCCCGGGGCCTGTGTCCGAGGCAACCGCTCGAACTACACCGCCCTCACGTGGGAGGAGGATGAGAAGCAGAAGAGCGGGACCGCTCCACCCCACACGTGAGTATTGGTGAATGAGTGTTCGTCTCAGATGTAGTCTTACTAGCCTACGAAAGCATGCAGGGCTTTGTTGCGAGGGTCTGACCCTCATCAGAGGAGCATGGAGTCCGTGCACGAACAGGGTTTTGGGTTCCTTGCTTGCTAGGAGGATCGATACTCGAATCGACAACGCACAGACTTGGCAACCGTCTTCGCTGATGCCGAAGATCCCCTTATTAGAGCCTCAGTCCTATGTCATAGAGGTCACAAACAAAGCACATAGATCGAAGGGGCGACTTGACAAATCAAGAATGTTACAGATCGCATGGCAAGAGCCGAATCCTGAGAGGGCTCGGAATCCAAGGTCAGAGCACAAGCCCTAGGCCCTAAAACTTCAACGCTCAACCCGAAACCCTAAACCCAAAGAGTGGCACCTGTCAACGATGAGCCTGAAGCAGGACAGCCTTTGAGATCGAGGAGCGAGACGGGGCGGATCAGCCGCTAGACGAAGCCAATTTGTGTGAGATGTGTTCTGTTGTGGCTTCCTGAGCTGTTTGTGAATGGTGAAGATTATATCTTGTACATACTCCTATCTACATACATATATACGCACACATCTACACAGATTGTACTACATGCATGCATGCATGCATG